ATTAAGGCTCAAATAAAAACGAAAATGGTTAGGTGCCTTTACTTGTTTGTGCTTTTTTTTGTTTGGCGAAACGGGCCCTGATTCATTTTTAAATGAACTGACAGCTGAATGCATTTGTTTGTTCCAGGAACCGCTTAACTGAGCGAACCATTACCATTGCCAAGAAAATCGAAGAACTACTTGATAAAGTTTATTAAATAATATTTTACGACTATTGCGGCAAACTATGTCGCAAAAAAATGTGAATAATTTTGAATAATGTATTTGTCATAAGTTATTGTTGCGTACTAGCCAATATTTCCACACTGTGTATATATATATATATAATATATATCATATATATATATATAATATATATATATATATATATAATATATATATATATATATATATATATAAAATTCATTATTATTATTTGTTTCTTTTTCCAGGTGTGAACAAAAAAAAAAGAAAGCACTCCGCTTCAGGCCTCACGCAGAGTGTGTATCTGTACAGTCGCTGCCCTATAACCTCTCCATATTCGTGCTGTCGGTGGTGGTGGCGCAGCGCCCGTCAGTCTGTGACAGCATGTTAACAACACCGCAAAGGGTCCCAGAGAAACGTCCTGGATTAGCGGTCAGATTTTCTATTTCCCAGAGAAGCACGAGGTCCCGAACCCAATTAATGAATAATAATTACTTAGGCACCTTCCCCGTGAACGCTTCCAGGGACTTCATTAGAGGAAAGGAGGGAGCGGCCTGCTGTGGAGTGCCACTCCAGACTAAGACTTCACCGGGACTTTAGAATTGATTGGCTGCTGTAATCTCGGTGAATGTGTCCTTATTGATCTGTGGAAAATGTGTCTTGAGGTGTGTGGATCGTCATCATCCTCTCCCCACAACACACCCAAAGCAGTGCGCGTGTTTTGTGTGTGAATGCGGAGGCTCCTCTAGTGCCCTGCCACAGCTAGTTACCGTGTTTACTCTCCCATTACATGAACTGTGGCAGAATTACAGTTAGCAAATTTACAATGCTCAGAGCGCTAACAAAAGGGCCCGCTGCGGCTTTTTGATGTCCCCCGACTCGCGTCACCCATAGGCCGGACCGCGAGGTGCTCCATTTCACATATCTAATGTGCGCTGATGTTATCTCCGCATAGCGTCTAATCCAGAGACCCCGAGTCTTTTCCACCGCGGATAAGGCTTGGGTTTCAGTGGCTTGTGTGTGTGTGTGTCTTGTGTGTGTGTGTTGTGTGTGTGTGTGTGTGTGTGGTGTGTGTGTGTGAGAGAGAGAGAGAGAGAGAGAGAGAGAGAGAGAGGAGGGGGGGGGGTAGGCGAGGGTGGGGGTACGGTCGCCGCAGTCCGACCACACCAGTCCACACTGTTGTACACCTCTGTAAGTCTACCCCCACCCCTCCGCCTCCACCTAAGCTCGCACAGCTATTAGGATTGCGCGCACACCTAAAGATTTATCGCGATAACAGAGTACTTAAAAAAAATTCAAGGTTTTGGATTAATATTGGCCAATATCATTACATTATTGAATTAATAAATAGATATAATAAGGATCCGTTAGCAGCGTCTTAGCCTACACGTTGGAATTGAGTGTTTTGCTTTTTTTAATAATCAAAATTTCCCAGGCCTAAAAATACATTTTAGCTAATCACCTATGAAGTCAGCGCTGTGAGGCCAAAAAAATAAAAAATAAAATACAATAATTTAGTTTTTGTAAGAAGGAGCGGGGAAGGCCGTCGCTTTGCTGAGAAATCTCACGGGCATGTCACCTTGCGTTATGTAAAGGCGTCATCGCTTAATCTAAATGAGCTCTCGGAATTTTAACAGAGTTTAAATGTGCCCTTTAACACTGGAGATATAATCAGCACACGCGTGAATAAAGAGGCCTCGGATGCATCTGTAGAGGGTTTATGATGCTGACGAGAAATGCTGGCTTGTAAGCGATACACAGAGGAGGATGTGCGTGGGCGAATTTAAAGATGTTTTTTTTCTTCTTTCTTTAGCAGGTTAAAGGCAAACACAATAAATTGATCATACAAAATAAAACAAAAATTCGGATAATTATAGGCTTTGCATATATTATCGAACTGGATCTCACTCCTGTTTGTGCCTGTTTGTTTGTTGTCACTTTCCGCTGATTATGAATCCCATCTGCTTCTCTTTAGTCTAATTAGAGGGAATAAAACGGAGAGCGACCCGGCACGTGCAGATGACTGAACGCGAGTGCAGCAGCACACCTCTCTTCCGGGGACGGAGCCAGCAGTGCTGCCTTCTTGCGCTCTTTCCAGTGGCAAGACAAAAGAGAGAGAGAGAGAGAGAGAGAAGTGGTGGTGGTGGGGGGACGGAGAAAAAAAATGCACGTCACATTTCTGGAAAGCAAATGCTACGAAACGCGAAGTTTCTCCGAGCAGCCGTTCTATGTTTCCCCAAAGCATTTAAAGCTTTAAATGGCGCAGAAAAGTATTCCCCAACGGCCCAGTGTCGGAGAGCAACACTTTTCTTTGCAAGCATAATCACAGTTAATTGCTCTTTAAAAAAAGGGAAAAAAAAGGTGTTGCACCATGTGAAAGCATTTGTCCAACCCGATGTGCAGGAAATATTGAGAGGTCTGAACTTTTTCGGGAGACTGGTGGAAATTATTCCGACAAAGTGGAGAAAGTTCTGCTGAATGTCCCTTTTTTGTAGTTTTCCTCTGACTGAAATGGGATGAAGGAGGAGGTATCGACAAAGCCGGTCGATTAAAACGATGGATTATCGATGGCTTGTCGTCACGCTTCCGCGGTTCTGTTGGATACCAAAAGGAATAAACAAAACCTTTGTACACGATTGTTATTCACATAATTTATTATGTGCTTATCGACCCGTTTCTTCTATCTGTCGGTCCCTGTTTTGCGTCGCATGCAAGGCCGTGAGCTTCTCTCTCTCTCGCTTTTAAATAAACCCCTCGTGTTTTACCTGAAGATTTTTTTCATAGTATCCTAAAGAAAATATATTAACAGGTTACAGGTAACCAGGTGGCCCTCACACGCCGTACTTCTCATTCTTCATTTCTGCATTCTGTCAAGCCAACAACGCAAACCCCCTCGCCTCATGATGCGGGACAAACTCCCTAATATGCACTTAATGTAAGCTAATTACTGCTGATTGTTATTGATTAATGATCACGTCATTCGTTTCACTTCAACCCGTGGGAAAACATCCCACGGCAATTTCTCTCCCAGTATAGACTGTTTGGGGACATGAGCTCGATGCTTTTATTCAGATCACCGCGCACTGTAAGAAGTCAGGATGCAAGGAGACCAAAGAACAGTCACACATCGTCGAATTATTCGCAGTGCTTGTATAGCAGTGTAATCAAGAAATAATAATAATAATAATAATAATAATAATAATAATAATAATAATAATAATAATAATAATAATAATAATAATGTGTATGGATTTGTAAGTAGCATAGCCCATAAAAAATATATCCAGGAATAGATCCCTGCCGCTCTCCCAGCAGACTGCAGTTGCTCCATCGTCACCGATCTTTAATAGGCTCCAACATAGAGCCGCCTTTATTCAGCTAAACTAGACGGAAACCATTCCCATATGACATGTAGGCTAAAGGCCCATGCAGGCACCACATGAATATGTCGAGCGGCCTGGCAGCCAAACCGGATCTTGTTGCTTTAAAAAGTCAGAAGATTATTTAAAAAAAAAAAAAAGTTAAATCGGAATAGATGTTTACAGCTTTTACTGCGTCTTTCGTTTTTTTTTCATGAAATGTTTGGACATCAGCAAAAATATTTTGTGCGTATGATTCAATGTAATAATAATAATAATAATAACAACAACAATAATAATACAGATGTTAAAACTGTTGTAATAAAACTACACCGTCTAACAAAATGTCTCGTGTAAATTCAGTTTGTTTTCTGAATTGTACATTAACAAGTTAAGAAAATGTTGTGCTGAATGGTTATGTAGCTGTGTTTGAGCAGATTCTTTTGTCGAGAACAGAGATCTAAATTTTACCTTTGAGTCCTTACATCGAACTCCTGTATGCACGTAACGTAAAGACGGTCTTCCTCTGTCTGGAGCAAACAAACAAACAGGTGCAAGGCAAAAGTCACAGCTGCAAAAAGAAAGCCTGCAATCTGGCTACCTGCGTTCAGGTGATCTGCCGAAGCAGTGTGCGCACGGTTGCTGCTAACTGTGAACAGAGAAAGTTATCCAAGAAATAAGCAACACGGCTGTTACAAATGTGAACACAGAAGGAAACAAAAGAAAGAAAGAAAAAGAAAAAAAGAAAGAAAGCATGGACGTCTCTCCGGTAGGACTGCTGGTGGAGGCGCCGTGCATGCGTCAAACAGCTGCTGGCCGCTGCTTGTCCTGAGGGCAACATGGTTTTTACAAACACACACACACACACACACACACACACACACACACACACACACACACACACACA